CTCATGCAGTGGGCATTTTAGAGAGACATTTGAAGATGAAAGTAAAGAAGGATTTGGTTAAAATGCCTAGTAACGACATATTTTTTTTTCTTTTGCGGTTGTTTACTTAGGGTCATGTGGATACTTAAAATCTATTATAAGGAAATCAATTACAAAAAAATCTAACATTTTCAGTATTTGGGTACACCAAAGAGTAAGGAAATGAAAAAAGAGTACATGTCATTTCTCCAAATATCGTCAAAACTATTACGCAGCTAAAAAATCTATTACGGACCGGTAATTGTTTACGTGCAATTTCCCCAAATCCTTTCGCTGCTAACTCTATCTCTTCCAAACTCCCTTCCTCTTCGAGACTCCCTTCTTTGTACTCTCTCTACAAACAAGCCTTGGGTAACTTCTACGAACAAATTTGCTACCTCTCTTTCGGATCAACAAACTTGAAGCAACCTCTAACAAAACTGCTGCCTTTCTCTCTCTCTTGGAGCAACCTCTAGCAAAACTGCTGCCTTTCTCTCTCTCTTGGAGCACCCTCTAGCAAAATTGCTACATTTCTCTCTCTCTTGGAGCAACCTCTCTCACCGTATTCGAAGTCAGTATTTGTCTCTCTTAACATGTCTAAGTATGAGCAATTTCTCTCTTTGTTAAAAAATTAGGGTTTTATCTATTTTTTTATAACATAAATTTGCCCCTAAAAAATTTTGGGCTTTTATTTTTTCTGAGCTCTATAAAAGTAGGGTTTGGTGGGTAAAAGATTCTTGCAACAGTAAACATTTTATGGGCCCAAGGGGTTAATTTGAGCATATAAGATTAAGTTGATTTGGTTCGTTCTTTATTACTCTAGTTTCCATAAAATCAGTAAAATTATATGTTGATTTGGCTTAGTTTACATAAAATCAGTAATTATGAGAGGTTTCAGAAATCTTGATCATGGGGTTATAGTCAAAGTCAATTGCTGGTAAAATGTTTGTAATGCATTTTCCATATTTCTTCCAGACATAGCCAAACAGTAGTAAATTTGAGCATATAAGATTAGGTTGATTTGGTTCGTTCTTTGTTACTCTAATTTCCATAAAATCAGTAAACTTATATGTTGATTTGGCTCGTTCTTGTTATTTTAGTTTACATAAAATCAGTAATTATGAGAGGTTTCAGAAATCTTGATCATGAGGTTATAGTCAAAGTCAATTGCTAGTAAACTGTTGGTAATGCATTTCCCATATTTCGTCCAGACATAGCCAAACAGTAGTAATGTATTTTTCAGATTGCATCTAAATACTACCCAAACAGTAACAATCCATTTGCAGGTAATGTATTATACATTAATGTATTACGGCAGTAATATATTTCACAGATAAAATGGGACAAAAATTATCCATTACCCCTTTAAAAGCACCTCACACCCCTTTAAAAGGACCTCACACGGAGTGGGAGAGCCAAAGTCAAGAATAAAGTATTGAGAGGTCCATCTTCTTTCGAAAAACATCTTAGGAGGTTATTTTCATAAAAAGCTCTAAACATATTCCTAGGGGCGACCACACAAGGGAAAGGTTTCTATATATCTTCTACAACATAAAAGATATATACTTCCTCTTATCTAGTTGTCTAATTTAGATTAAGTAAGCCAGTGACATTTTGATCTAGAGTCGACGCTTCATAGTATTTTATTTTTAGTTTTTTTTTTTATATATATAAATGATATGAATATGAAATTTGGTGTGTGCCATCTTCTCAATGCGGCACGCCTAAAAAAATATTAAAAATAATTTTTCGATAAAATATAATAACCAAAATACCCCTTGAATCTTTCAGGGGTATTTTGGTCATTTTATTTTATTGAAAATATTGTTTTTTATATTTTCTACAAGTATTTAAGAGAAGTAGACGCCCAAATTTTAGTGTCAAAATATTTTATAAAAAACATTAAAAATAAAATAATGTATTGTGATTGGGGCCATCTCAACCGTCCGTTCAGAATGGACAGTTGGACAGGGGAAGTATAAAATTTTTAAACAGTGGGGAACCATAAAAAGCTTGCCTGTCATACAAACAGGGTCCAACATCGTATGTTTATAAAATTAATAGGGAAATCAGTGGAGTGGTTGTATAGAACAATAGAAATGCGATTAAGACGCATAATGCACTTTTTGCTTTTATAATAATACTTCATATATCAGACATTCCATAACTTTTCTTATTTTATAATGATCCATATTTTTAACTCGATTTTTTCTTCTGAATTTTTTGAATAAAATCGATTTGTTACATTCTATAACTTATCTTATTTTATAATGATCCATATTTTTAACTTGATTTTTTCTTCCGATTTTTTAAAATAAAATCAATTTGTTGCCGATGTTTTGGTTTGACGATATAGTACTATTCCCTGACTTACTAACCATTTTCTAGTGTGTTTGTTTCTGATCCTCCTAAAAGCATTTGTTTAGCCCTATACCATTAGGTTTAATACAATGCCAATCAACAAATACTACTAAATGTATTAAGATGCAGTATATAAGTCATCTAAAAGACCACACATTCGATATCTTAGGTCAATAATCCAAAAAAATGGAGAAATTGAAGAATATATCGCATACATAATTGAAGCTGAGTGGGCAAAGTGGAGATGTACAACTAGAATTTTATGTGATCACCACATACCAAGGAAGTTGAAGGGCAAGTTATAGAGGACAACTAAAAGACCAGTTTTGCTTTATACAACAGAATGTTGGGTGGCCAAAAAATAATATACCCGTAGAATAGGTGTCGCGGAGATGAGAATGTTGAGATGGATGAGTGACAAGACAAGAATGGATAGAATTCGAAATAAATCCATTTAGGAAAATTTAAGTTTAGCAACCAATAGGCAATAAGAGAAACGAAAGTAGACTTAGGTGGGTTGGCTATGTATGGTGCTGACTAAGTACAACACCTGTTAAGAGGTGCAAGCTAGTTCAAATAGAAGGATTGAAAAGGACAAAGAGTAAGCTCAAAAAGACATGGTTGAAAGTAGTCCGAAAATATATGGGGACTTATGGTCTCCCTGAGAATGCATTTACTAGAGCAGAATGACGAACCCAAATTCATGTAGCCAACGCCAATTAATTGGAAATAGATATGATAGTGATGATATAATCCATTCATCTAAATTTTTCCTTTGTTCTTCACCAATAATGGCAATATTTTAAGAGTTATCATGAGAAATTTAATTTGGGAAGATATACCACTACCACAGGTTTTCCAGTGTTGGAAAACTCGTCCAACTGAGACTCACCTGAATTATTCCATATCAGCCAATTAGGAGCCTAGAACTAATTTTTTTAGGACTTGGTCGGGTCTCTAATAGACTTAGCCGAATGGAGTTGCCTGACTTGGGCTAGGAACCCTAATGGATCCTGACACAAGTATTTGTTCTATATCACTGATTTAAGGGCAAGTTATTTATTCTATATCACGATTTAAGGGCAAGAATAAGCAAGATCCGGTTTGCCCAAAACTCCCAATTGCGGTTTTATCTATGCTTTCCCATCTGTATCCATTCAATAATACATAAACTAGTGTTTTAAAAAAACAAATTGGTGGAACCCGACAATCCCAGTCCGGATCAGCAATCTAGTCCGATCTGGGAAATTCCTTTTGAACAAAAAGAAAACAAGAAAAATGCTTTATATTGTAAAATATGTACAATCCAATCATATGTTTAGCACAAATGGCTTAATTGGGAACAACTTTGACATTTCTTCCCATATCATTTGCTTTTATTTCAGAACACCAATCAAAAGACATTATATAGTTACAAAAGAATAAAATGTTAAATAGTTCATCTCTTATGGGTGTTTTGTTAAATTTCCTTATATTTTATATAAAAAAATCACTGATTCCGACAAGGAATCAAATCAGCGAAGGACAATTCCGATCCAGGTTGGCAATTTCCAATTTGAATCAGTGAAAGCACTACATAAAATAAAATCAGTATGACACGTTCAATGCAGAAGCTGTACACACCAAACAAATTTATATCTAGACTTGGAGAAAACCAGTAATACATAAAGAGAACTCAAAAGTAGAAGCATCAGAGACCTGACAAAGAACTTCATATACATCAGAAATCGCCCCAAAACACCAAAAATTTTGAATAACAAGCTCATAAGACATGAAAAACCAACATAAACAGTAAAAGTGGTAGCTATAGCATAACGAATTCCATGCAAGTATCGTAAAATATCTCAATTTTGGATACAGAAAACTAAAAAATGAAGCTATCAAACTCATTGAGACCACCAAATTTTTTGGAAAACAAGTGAATAAACTAAGAAATGTTAGCAAGACACAGTACGAGTGTCAATGTCTAACATGAATATGCATTAACAACAAACTTTGCCCTTCAAACATGACACCATCTGGGACGATTGAGAGGTGGGATCTCAAGTAATGACAAAAGCGCTTAGATTTAAATTTTATAAAAAATATTTAAGTTTCTAAAAGGGTGAGGTTTGTATGAGGTTCCCACCTTACACACAGGTAAAGCGCACCCCTAAATTTTGCTGAAAAATATAGTTCCAATATCGAAAACTTTACGATGGCTTGAAAGTCCATGTTCAAGCTTAATTATGAAATTTAAAATTTAAAATTCAAAATAGTGTATATCAAACAGATCATTAAAGCTTGAAAATCTTGAAAATAAACAGTCACTCGTTAAATTTTTAAGACTCAAAATTCTTTTTTCTCCCCTCATATCCATACATCTCAAAATCGATATGATCAATTGAAAAATTTTCCAACTTCATAACATTCTTTTCTACTAGATTTTTGAGGTGCACCTTACTTTTATGATATAAAATTGTACATGCCCAAGCCTTGGACACGTGCGCCTAAGTCACATCGAAGCAATGCAATCTCCAAGTGAGCAGAATTTCAATGGTTCTTGAAGTTCATCCTAGCTCACATTCCCATTAAATGAAACAAAGCGTAAATTGTAGAGAGAGAAAAACAAAGTACTCAAAAAGCAGCAAAACAACTAAGAAACCAGCTTCATTATTACAGCCATCGCCCCAAACCTCTACTAGTTCAAAAATTACAGGCCCATAAATTTTCATAGGTTGATGAGCGTTGGTACACGATGAGAACAATGCAAAAAGGCCAGGATATTATGGAAAAAAAGAGATGACTAAGTTCATAGAGAGAGAGAGAGAGAGAGAGAGAGAGAAGCAAACCACTACATCAGGTAGGTTGAGCATTCTTAGAAATGAGCTCGAAAGACAATCCATTCTCTTGGAGATGCTTTTGCAGATCGGTAGGGCCAAAAACAATTCCCGGTGTGTAAACGCCACCGCGGGGCAAATTCCCTCTTTCTTTGAGCAAAACAAGAGCACACTGAACAAGAATTATTGGTGTCGTAATATAACCAATCTCCGGCCCCGAGACTCGAGTTATCACTTCCTTATCCATCTTCCCTCTTTTTAGTTGGCTTTCATCACTATAACCACGTCCCACAAACCACATTTTGAAGGAAGCACTTCTCACTTCTTCCTCTGTAGGTCCCGACTTCCTAAACCACCCGAGAGTGAATATTTCAGGGTATTTCGAAAGGAGACTACGGCCAAAAGCGCATCTTGTTAAAATACCCATAATGATGCCAACCACTATAAGACGTATAATACCCAATGGAGATTTGTACCCAATTTTTACACCGAAATGAGCAGGCTTTATTTGGGACCAGAACTTCTCTCTCTTTGAAATGTGATCTGGGGTCTCATTAACTCCTGAAAGCCCATTTGGGTTCTCAGTCAAAGATGTAAGTGTTCTTCGAACAACTATGGCATCGGCAGAAGGTAACTTAACAGCCCAAAGTCCAACTGATTTCTGGTGTTGTATAAGCTCTCCCTTACTGGTAGGGGGGCCTGGAATCTATGGTATGAAAAGACCAAAAGAAAGTCCCTCAGTCAAAATTTAATGAAAGCAAGAGGCTAAATCAGTTGATCTTCCTCAAACCACATGAAAAATACAAATGCAATCGATTAAAAAAAATAGAGAGAGGATAGGTCAGCTTGTTTTGGTTTTATGGGACCTACTTCAAGGGTTCAAACCCTTGAAATCCCTTACCAAAACCGCAATGTTTCCCACTCAACCAAAGGTTCAGGGAAATATCACTATTCAATCTTTCTTCCACTTTCTTTCATTAGCGAGCATGTCTGGGGAGATTATAGCAACCCAGAGAAGCTGTAACCAAAACCAGGCATCTCGAGTGAACAGGATTCAAAGCAATTGGAGCAACAACTATATGTGTGTATGCGCGTGTTGAGAGCAATGAGGAGGAGATATGTTAGATTACACCACTCTAATGGTCACTGAAAACTTCCCAGTCCGAACTGTTTACCTAGAAATACAATTATGAAAACAAAATTTATATTCATCACATTTTGATATGTAAGGGTTTTTCAAGGAAATTTTTTTGATGAAATTAAGAGTATATTTGTAAATGTCTAAAGTTCAAACATGATTTTAAAAGTCTTTTTAAATCTGAAGTTGATTTCCAGAAAGATGTTTGGGTGCTTTTGACAAATAGAATCAAAACAAAGTTCATATTGTCTGTTCATGGCTACATAGTCTTAGGGCATCGCCAAATCTAGAAATACATTCAAATGAGTTTAGGTTTATGTGAAAGCTTGGTGGAATGGATGAGCGCTACCTTACGAGATACCTCTTCAAAACTCATAAAATTTGGATAACAATTGATGGTATCCTCAAATTCATCACGGTTCCGAATGACCTCAGAATGCCTAGCCATGGTCAATCTCAGATATTCTACTCGGTCTGAAACTTGGTAAAGCAGTTATATTAATGCTTCAAGGCCCAACTGTCCAACTTTCAAAAGATTTAACATCGTTTGAGGGTGTTTTCAAATTCACCACATCTACACACTATCATGGTCAATTTAGGGAACCTACTCAAATCAACTCAATTATGATCTGAAACTTGATCTGATGCCTTTCTATGGTCCCGATAACCTACTGCAAAAGTTTCAAAAGATTTGGAGATTGTAAAGTAAAAAATATTGGACTACAAAATTCTAAGTTCACAATTAGAGTGGTGTAGCACACGCATATATTTTGATGAAAATGTGACAACTATGTATATACACAAATAGTATTTGCACATGAATTTGAACCAAAATAAATGAGCATCGACCCCTCGGCAAGTTGCATTGACATATAGCAGGACATTAGCACTAGATTTACAGGACTAACACCATTCCTCAACGAGAACTCTGCAATATTATGTTAAGGCGAAGACAAATCTTGACATGGAGATGTAAAAATATAAAAGAATATACCATTAAAGGAAAATTATATTTACAAACAAAAACATGAGCAAAGAATATATATTTAGGACTTGTGCATAACCATATATGTTCATATTTGTGTGTATGTTACATTTAGGACTTTTATATTTAGGACTTGTGCATACTGCATCCATATATTGATATTTGTGTGTGTCAACATGCTTAGAATCACAACTACAACATGCACACATTTACGAATACAAAAGGATATATACACACACAAAAAGAAATACATCACCAATACACACATATGCACACAAACACGTGCACATGAATTTTTGGTCACAGAAGTATACTCACCAGTCTTGTTTGAGAAGCTCTAGCAAGTCATCTCAAGAGTTGGTGCAAGCAGGGTTAGCATGAGTACTTCTTAGACACAGCTCTGGTACTGCTCCTGACCACTTATGGTGATCACCAGGACATTCTTGACTTGAAGCAAGTTCATAATAAGTTTTAAGATAATGGATTAGACGATATGACCTAATTTTTAAAGCAAGTTCCTCACAATCAGTCATGAAGTAGGCCACATGATCTAATTTATTTGGTTTGGAAGTAATGAAACTAAAATATATTTACTCCACAAACAAAAATATGGGCAGTAATAATTGCTTTGACATCAAAGGATGATGTATACTCCCTTGGACACAATTGAAATGCTCCAGATATGACGAAGTACCACTATCCCATGCATAAGTAGAGGTCAATTAGCAGTTTGTTATATCTTGCGGTCTTATACTATAAATCATCCAGACATTGCCCATTTCGTTAATATTGTCAATTCATTTGTTTCTGATCCCCTGTGACTTCTCTAGAGTGACATAGACTGCATTTTTTACCATCTTTTTCTCTATCTATGGGCAATCTTATGTTGAGCACTTTCCTTTCGTACTTCAGTTCCCCTGAATCTCATTTCTCATTACTTTTGGCTCAGATGGATTTGTAGTATTGCCATATACCATATGCTAGGGTTCTGTATTTTCTAAGGCAAAACTTAAACAGCTAGAAATGTAACTAGGATATTGTGGTGAACTCCAGTATGAACACAGAAACAGGGTGACATCATACACATGTACCAAGATAATTTCCTAACAAAGAGTACCACAGGAATTAGGCGTTTAAGTACCTAATTTCCATGGGAAACTATGTTAGTGACATGAAAGTACCTTCTCCCTTACCTTTATATACTGATAAGTTTGATCTATATGCATTGGTTCGAACCCCATGTTCCATAAAGGACAAAATGTTGAAGCTGACTGCACCTTAGTTGGGAGAACATTCTTTGATATGTTACCTAGACATGGACATCTGTCCACATCTAATGTATGTGTAAGTATCTAGTGGTTGGGCCTAAAAAGCCACTAAGGCAAGACACATCCATGATATTGCTATTTTATAATAAAATAATAGACTTCTAATGTGCATATAATAAACAATTCATATTTATTACACTTGGATGCAGTTGGCAAAGAGGTAAATCACACGAAATTGGTGTAGGACATATTGGGTTAAAACCTCTCCCTTCTGTTCTATACATTTTTCTAATATCCTGTGTCTGGAAGTGTCTCGATAAACATCTTCTGTATGATCACATTTCTTTACCGCATAGCAGCGCAAAGTCGCAGTTTTACAGGTGTGTTCATTAAAGCAATCACTAATCCTCAGCACCAGAGTCTAGTTGGAAACCATAGTTGTTGGGAATTGGGATCAGGAGTGGGAATGGTACCAGGAGTGGGATCGCAAGTGGGGGATCATGAAATGTTAGAAGATCCCTATGGTTGGGAACACCATCTGTACACGCACATGTTAGGGATCCAGATTCTAACCTTTTGGTGATCTTGATCCCGACCTTTCCAGATCTTGATCCCGACCTTTCCAGATCTTGATCCCAACTTTTTGGGGATCTTGCTACCAACCTTGATAATCGATGATTATATATACTCTTAAAAGTAGGGATCTCATTATTTATAGCAAGTAAACAATATTAACTAAATTAAAAGTATAGTGGTGCCACTAGCTGGCTATAAACAAAGAAAACCATTTGTTTGGTTGTTGTCTTGGTCGTTAAGGCTGGGATCACGATCCCTAACAGCAAGAATTGAGATCCCTAACAGTGGAGATCGAGATCCCAAAATTTAAAAATCGAGATCCCTGAGAGATCCGTTTTGGGATATGCTGGTTGATATACTAACATAGGGTCAAAACTATTATTTTGTGATATACGCTCTCGTTCTTTATAGGTGAAATTCCAAACAACCAAGGCATGGTAGAGCCTATTGATTTCTCTATGTTACTTTAGTTGCACTCTTTGGTAATCAGATCTTAGTTTGGCTTTGAGAAATGAGTTGGTATGAAGGAGATAGCATTGTTTCCATCTTTGAGTCTCATTGCTTTCACAAATTGATAAAGACAACACTTTCTTCAACTTTGAGTCCAATGGCATATTTCTTAGATCTCCTTCCATTCTAGTAATTCATCTCTCTATATAAAATAGGGTATTTTGGTCTAAACAGGTACACATGAATGTGTGGCTGTATATACACATATATACATGGGAAAATATAACTATAAGATTGTTTACCTTTGATACAAAAAGGTCACTGACACCCCTAGCCATCAGATGTGAAATCAAAATGGCTAGGGGAGTGCCATTGATTGCTAAAATCTTGAGAAAATTTCAGACTTCAGGCAAAGGGTGATTGTGACCTTTTCGTACTAAAGGGAACCACAATCTCATAGCGTACAACCCTTACATACATATTATTTACATATACACTCACACACATGAATGCATTTCTTTTTTCGACCTTGATACCAGTGAAAAGCCACTATTCCAAATCTTCATTCACCATATCTAACTTACCACTTCTAACAGTAAAATCAACCATGACCAAATGCCATAATATAATTGATTATTCAAAATCCAAGCTAAACTTTCAGCTAGATCTAAACAAGGTTTACATGTTAAAAATTCATGCAGTGTTAATATGTAGATATAAATGTTCCATAAAATGGTATACAATTTTCATCCTCCAAATTCAATTAAATTAAGCACACAATTTTCATGCAATAGAAAGTCCAGTATCACCATACCTTAATCACAGTTCCAAATATCCTGTTCTCTATATTCACACTCAGTAAATCAGAATCTATTAAAATTCAAAACATTTATCTCAAAAAAAAAAAGAAGGAAGAAAATCTATCAGACCAAAATCAACAAAGAAAAGCTCCATATGACAAAAACATGTATCCTAAACCTTCAAACTAAGTCAATATACCAACTCACACTTCAGAAAAACAAAAGAGAATTCAATCAGAAGACAAAAGTCCATGTCCAAATGCTGGTTCAACATAATACCAAAGCAATACACAGAGAGCAAGAGCACCCATCGTTCATATCTAAATGCAGATTCAACTTAATACCAACGTGAGAGAGAGCAAGTAGCCAAAATTCATGCTAAATGCTGGTTCAGTGTCAACTTAGTCGCAAAGTAATATAGAGAAAGAGAGCACCTGCGGTCTAGGACGCTTGGGTCTCGACCTCCTTAGCCTCTGCAACTCGTCAAAACTCGACAACCCCAAAATTGCAGACTCAAGAGTCCCCACATTACCCACAATTCTCTTATCAGATTCCAAAACCAAATAAGCATCGATACTGTTCAGTATCGATGGTGGTTCCCATTGCCTTGAATTAAACACAAACCCTAATTCAGCAGGAACTGAATCGAACCCACAAGCTGAAATCACAAGGGAATTACTCTGAACTGCTTTTTCATGGTATAAGGCCTCAATTTTTTCCATGAACTCTGGTTCTCCAGTGATATCAAGGTAATCTATACCAGCTCTGATGCATTCAGATACAACCGGTTCACCGTAGAGGCGAAAGGGGCCGACACAGTTGAGTAAGAGCCTGGTTTGCTTGCAGAGAGAGGAAAGAGAAAGTGGGTTCGAGACGTCGGCTTCAAAAATGGGGATTCCGGGTGGAGGAGAAGGGGAAGAAGCCCATTTGAGAGCTGATAAGATCTTGGGTTTTGATCGACCCGCAAGGCCGAGCTTTAATGGAGGAGAAGAAGATGATGAAGGAGAAAAAGAAGAAGGTGAGCTGTTGATGAATTTGAGGGCTTCTCTAATAACGTATTTGCCTGTGAACCCTGAAGCTCCAAGGATCATTATGTCCACCTTTTCGGGTTCTTCTTCCTCCATTGCAGAATGTGTTAACAGGGCAGAATTACCGAGAGAAAGTGTGAAAAAATGGTGGAGCTAGATGGAAAGTAGAGAGAGAGAGGAAATAGCAACAGGGAAACTACTCGTGATGAAACTAATCACAAGAATGAAAATAACGAGAGAGATGTAAAATGGAGAGAGAAATTTACAGGATAGAGAGAGGTGTAAAATGGAGAGATGTGCAGAACATTGTGAGCAAGCAGGGGAGTATCAATATGGGAAAAGTTTGTATAGAACCGAGGCTCTAAACAATCAAATCAGAACCGACCTTAAAAATTTCCTTTTAAGGACTATTTTGATGCCTAAATATCTTCAAATTGATCATCTCGACATTAAGATGCATGAACATGAGAAAAAAATAGATTTAAAGTTATGAAAATAGTGCATCTTATAATATATTTTTGGACCATCAATTTTTAAGATTTTTAAGTTTTCATACGTTCGATCTACTCTATTTTCTTAAACTTTAAATTGTATAATTAAAAATAAAAATATATTTTAAAGCTATCATAATTATTTCTAATATTGAAACTATATTTCTTTATACTATTTGAAAGCAGACTCTAATTTGATTATTTAGAGCCTCGGCTCTATACAAACCGAATATCAATAAATCCGCTCACCGTAAATTTAGAAATAAATTGGTTTCATTTTAAAAAGTCTCATGAAAAAATTGAATCATAAATACGGATCCACAAAAATACTGTTTAATAATATCCTAATATATCAGATTAGGGTAAAAAAATCAGATTGAATAAAATGAATAAGTTCAAAAATTTTGAAATTTTAAAATTCTAAAAAGAAGAACTCAAATCACATCCATCTTTTTTACAAAAGGAAAAAATTGAAAGTTACTAAGTATCATGGAAATTATTCCTTGGAGCAATAAAAAAGTTATTTTGGGTCCTTGACATCGTGTTGTCCGAACAAGTTGACTATTATATATCACAACATGTATCTATCTAATGGCCCTCAATTGATTGACATAAATGATGATATAGAAGTATTTTATATGTTGGGATGAGAGTCTTGGAATATTGTTATATACATTGCATCTGTAATAGAGCTGAAGCAAAAATCAATGGAATTTTGAACTATAGAACCTGATGGTGATGGCCCATCTACAAAGAATAGGTACAAAAATAATTCACACTTTCATCTCTAATTTGCTTTTAATTGAATTGTCCATGTTCACAAATGTTTATGATTTGTTCAGTTCAACTTATTGTACTATGTCTTTTATTAATAGTCAGTCTAATGCACCTTTACTTGACTGCATAGAGCGCAACTAAGTGGTGCCCATCCAAATAAAGAACGAGCCCGAGCTCATACTAGAGCATGATATGGAGAATATCGAACTAATTGGGAGCCCACGAAGAGGACTTGGTAAAGAGGTTGTTTTGAAAATTGGTCAGTATTTCGAAAATGTTAATAAATGCTAGTATCATCTGGTTGATTTTGTTGTCTACAATAATTTATTTTTAAAATTTGTCAAAAGCGAAGAGGGATGAGTTTGGGCAAGTTGCAAAGCATATGAATGTATCTGGCAAGTGCATTGTTGAAGGTGTTAGTTACAAAAAATATCACGAAAAGTAACTTAACACCTTTGTAATTTAAAAGGTTGTGAATTGTGGATTATCCCGATCTATACACACAAATCTAATTTTATCTTTGTAGTTAGGAAGAGAAGGATGCACTCTCTGAAGTTGGGCTTCTAGAAACAACATTGCACAAAAACCTAGGGAATAAATGCACATTGTGCTACCCCATAAGTGTAGTTTTTGGGGTATTTTATATGTTCTTTTATGGGAATAACTTCTATAAGCGTACAGGTTGGGATTATAACACCAGTATGAGCCGAGCTCCATAACACATACTATAAATATTTTCTTTGTATTAAAGTTTTGAATTCCATATTTAAAAATAAAATATTTTGAACAATATTTTTTAGTTCTCGAAAGCTCTGATCCAAGTCAACAAAATGAATAACGTGGCATTGGCCAAAAACCATAGACTTGTATTATTTTCCATTTGCATAGTTACTTCTTTATTTTGATGACATAAATGATTTTTTTTTTGACAACAAAAAATTTCTTTGTTGGCCCTAGGATTCGAACTTATGACCAACAAATAAAATTTTTATTTGCATAAAAATTTTAGGTAAAAAAAAATCCACTTTGAAATTCACATCAAAGTGGTAAACCTACTATTTACTGTGGATAAATTTTGAGCTATCATTGTGGTGCGTGGTAGTTGCATTGTCAAGATCAAGGCGTCAGCATGGGAATTCGAAACCTTGAAGCTTGTCCCATGAAATAAAGCAAGCATATATTATTACTGGAAAAAGAAAAATAAATCTAAGCGTCTTTTTTCTAAGTAGATGTGAATGGGGGTTTTAAAAATGGAAAAAGTTTATACATGTGTGATGTTCTAAATAATCAAATTATGACTCATTTCAAAAATTTCACCACAAGATAGTTGTTTTGATGTCCAAGTATTCTCAACTTGATCATCTCAATCTCAAGATGTATGGACATGAGGAAAAAAAAAAGGATTTCAAGTTTTGAAAATAGTGTATCTTGTAATACATTTTTTAACCGTCAATTTTCAAGATTTTTAAATTTTTATAGATCTGCTTGATCTACACTATTTTTGTAGCTTTAAATTTTATAATTAGACATGAAAATAAATTTTCAAGCCATCACAATGATTTCTGATACTGAAACAATATATTTCGGCCTGGGCCCTATAAAAACCACATCATTCATTCAATAAGGACCCCTTCTAACTCTGTTTTAGGATTACAAATCGGCCCAATGTTCATATAATTGCTTGGTTTTGTCAATAAATTATGCGATTTGGCTTGTCGAATCATCGATTCTGATTGGTGATTTTGCATGAAATATATTTTCTTCATTGTTTTTAACAAAACTTTTTTTTTTTTGTTTCTTTATAGTGATTCTTGTGTTAAAAATTGTTCATTTTATAGCGCTCTTTTGGATGCATACAACCATTTATTCAGCTGAAAACCAAAATCAAATAGCTTAAGCGTGGAAAGTTTGAGCGGTTTGTGACAATCCTAGCTCAAATCTACAGATTTTTTTTTTTTAATCCACTTATTAGGAGATTTGTCTTTAAAAAGTCTTGTATGTTACTTTTAAATATTTTTTTGAATATTTTGAATTTTTGTGCTCAATTGTTTTTCTAGAAATACCCTTGGATTTGCGAGAAGTTAACTTTACTTTTGCCCATAATATGGTTGATTTAGTTGGGATTTTTGGTCTACATGGTGTTGGGCTACCGTTTTTCTTGGACACAGGTTCTTTTGAGTCCCTAGCCTCATATATAGAAATGCGGCCCAGCTTAATAATCTCTCTTTCAAATAAATTTTGACCTCGATTTTCAAGGAATATACAATCCCCACGATCATTAATGTGTAAAAATTAAAATAATAATAATAATAATAATAATAATACTTTTAATTTTTTGTTTTTCTTGGACACAGGTTCTTTTGAGTCCCTAGCCTCATATATAGAAATGCGGCCCAGCTTAATAATCTCTCTTTCAAATAAATTTTGACCTCGATTTTCAAGGAATATACAATCCCCACGACCATTAATGTGTAAAAATTAAAATAATAATAATAATAATAATACTTTTAATTTTTTGTTTTTCTTGGACACAGGTTCTTTTGAGTCCCTAGCCTCATATATAGAAATGCCGCCCAGCTTAATAATCTCTCTTTCAAATAAATTTTGACCTCGATTTTCAAGGAATATACAATCCCCACGATCATTAATGTGTAAAAATTAAAATAATAACAATAATAATAATACTTTTAATTTTTTGTTTTTTGAAAAACAAAAAATTAAATAAATTCGATTTTTTAAAAACCAAAATTATTCAAGACCGTTATTTTCTCAGTTTCTCTCTCAAATCTCTATGTACACGTTAAAAGAAGAAGAAAAAGCCACTTTTCTTTCTGTCTCTATTCTTTTATCACCATTGATTTTCACCAATTTTTTTTTGGATAGATTTGATATTGATCAATTACGTCAGGAAAGTAGCCATATAGTACAACAACGACACAAAAAAAAAAAAAAAATCCAAAACTCTTGATTTAGGTTTTGTCAGTCTTGTGTAGAGAGAAAACAGAGGGATTTGCGATGTAAGTAATAAGAATGTTAATGATCTTAGAACGATAAAAGAGAGAGAGAAGGTTTATGTAGTCAAAGATTGAATAAAAGTGTTGGGGTTTGTGAAGAGGGCCCCATAAGTATTTCAGAAGCAGCAGGATTTGTTGATGATACAGTAGTTCAGGTAATCTCTTGCTTGAATGACAGAGATGGGCAAGCATGGCAGAGAGGACCTCATTAGATATGCGAGCTCACAAGCTCGATTTAGTAACTACTTCCTCTGTAACTGATGTCCTAAGCTTCAAAAGCTTATGTCTCGTGGCTCTGATTCAGTGAATGGCATTATCAATATCCAAGCAAGAGAAATTAGAGATAAGCAGTGACTTTTGCTAACTTTTATCTGATGCTGCTCCCTCTGTGATGCCTACAAGGCACAAGGCCTTAGAAAGCCTACAAATTGGGCCTATTTTTGCCGAGAGCTCAAGAATTTTGGTTTTGGGTTTAGAAACAAAACTCAATTTCGGTTTTTGAAAAATCGAATTTATCTGATTTTCGGATTTTGGAAAACCAAAATTTTCTAATTTTTTATTTTTGAAAAATCCAATAATCTTATTTTTCAGTTTTTGAAAACCCTAATGTTTTAAAAAATTCAGTCTTTCAAAAATCGAAAAGGGTAGTTCTATCTTTTAAATAAAAAACGTTATAAAGTTGACAAAACGGGTATACCTATAATAACCGAAACTTCGAGGTAATTTTGTAATAACACTAAATAAAACGGATATATACATTATTTTTCCTTTAATTTATTTTCTACAAATCATCTGAATATAAAATTTGGTGCGTAAGAAAATATATTTTTAAAACATCATCATCATCATTATAGTTTTTTCCCAATTAATTGGGGTCGGCTATACGAATCTTGGTCTTCCATTTTGCTTTATTTAAGGTCATACCCGCCGTGAGGCCATAAGTCCCCATATCTCTTCGAACTACTTCCAACCATGTCCTTTTAGGCATACTTCTTGCCCTTTTCAATCTTTTTACTTGAACTAACTTGTACCTCCTAACATGTGCGATACTAAGTTGATGCCATACATGTCAAGCCCACTTAAGTCTATTATTATCTCTCATATTATCGCCTATTGATACTACACTAAACTTTTTCGAATGGATTCATTTCGAATTCTATCATTTATTGTCTTGTCATTTATCCATCACAATATCTTCATCTTCACTACACTCATTTTATAGGTATATCATTTTTTGTCTGCCCAACATTTTATCTCATAAAGCAAAGTTGGTCTCAATGTTATCTTATAGAACATACCCATCAGCTTCATAAGTATATAGTGATCACATAAAATTCCAATTGCATATTATCACTTCGTCCACCCTGCTCTAATTCTATGTGCGACATCTTCCTCAGTCTCTCTATTTTCCTGGATTATCGACTTAAGGTATCGAAAGTGCAGCCTTTTTTCATACTTCCTCGTCGTCAATCTTAACTACTTCTTTGTTTCTACTCTTATTACAACTAAACTTGCATTCCATATACTCGTACTTAGTCTGACTAATTTTAAAATCGTTGAATTCTAGAGCATCCATCCAAAGTTCTAACTTTGTGTTGATGTCGTTTTGGATACTCAAAACTATGTCATCTATGAATAACATGCACCACGGTACCTCATCCTACAGGTGCTTAGTTAAGTCATCCATAACTAAGACAAAGACGTACGGGCTCAATGCTGACCCTTGATATAGACTTATTATCACTAAAAACTCATCTGCCTCTCAACTAGTTGTTCGCACACTAGTTAGTGCTCCATCTTACTTATCTGCCACCAAGTCCATATAGTATCTGAAGACTCATTTCATTTCTAATACCTTTCAAATCAAATCTCAAGGCACTATATCATAACTTTATCTAAATCAATAAATACCATGTGGAGGTCTTTTCTTTTTACCCTAAACTTCTCGATATGTTGCCTAAGTAAGAAATGTATTTTTAAAACATATTTTGTAAAAATAAAATGACTAAAATACCTATGAAACTTTTAAAGGTTTTTTGCTCATTTTATTTTATTAAAGATATTTTTAATATTTTTTGTTGGTGCCAGTTGAAGAGATGATTGGATGCTAAAATTTGGTGTCAATTTTATAGAAAAATTAAAATAAAAAAATGTTTAGGATATCCATTGCGATTGGAGCCATCTCAGTCATCCATTCAGATTGGACGGTTAGTAGATGAGGGATGCATGTAAAATATATATAAATGGGAATATATATAGTAAGCCGACCCTTTATTTTCTTGATAGATATGGGTTTTAGAAATTGAAAAAGGTTGAAAATTACACATATATTCGTTATATTTTACGTTATTACGGATGTACCGAAAAGTTTTCATTATTATATGTCTATCCGTTTTTTACTTTTCATAACACAATTTTCTAAAAAAGACGAATTTACATTTTTTTGGATGTTCAATATACGAATTGAAGGGTCAAATGTTCAACATCCGAAAATAGTTGAAAGTTTAACGTTCGCAGTCATATTTTCCGATGTTGAACATCCGAAAATGTGCCTGCGAAAGAAACCTTATGGAATTTTGCTGGCAAATTTTCGGATGTTGAACATCCGAAAATAGCACATTTTCAAATGTTGAACATCCGAAAATGTGCATGCGGAATGTGAACTTTAAACTTTCGAGTTATTTTCGGATGTTGAATATCTGAAAAACCCTTTAATTCGTATGTTGAACACCTGAAAAAAGGTTAAATCGTTTTTTTTTTAAATTACGCTATATAATAATGAAAACTTTTTTGTACATCTGTAATAACGTAACATGTAATAGATATATATATATGTAATTTTCTCTACTTTTTTACCCAATTTTGGATTTTTATTTTCCTTTCGTCGTAAGATTCGTAACACTAATTTCACGGTCATTTTGGGTTTAATGAATGTGTGATACTTGGATAGAAACTGGACCATCAGAAAGTTGATTTCTTTATTTGCGGCTTGTGTAAGGTTTCAACCTTAAACAATCGAGTAAGGTGCACTTCCATGCTATGCTCAAAGATGTAGTTTTAATACCAACATACTGTGTAGTGGCCTAAAAAATTAGTTTTGTTTAAAATCATGAAATTTTAAAATCTAAAAATAGTGCAAATCAAGTTGACCTATAAGCATTTGAAAATCTTGAAAATGTACGTTTCAAATAATGCATTATGAGATGCACTATTTTCAATACTTGAATTTTCTTTTCTTCATATCTACACATATTGAGGTTAAGATGATCAATTGGAAGGTTTTCCATTATCAAAACAATTTGTTTTAGTTGGTTCTTGGTATGCGCCTTAATTCTACACTATAAGGTTGACACCTCGTATAAACTCCGGTCCATTTTTTTTCACGGACTAGTAAAAAAAATTGAATCAGTTTAGTAGATCGTTGATCTAGGTTTGTAGACACCAATAAAAATAAAGCAAGAATCCTAACGCTATAATATATTGGAAAAAGTTTATATAAGGATGCTACCT